TCCATCAAGACCAATAGTATCACAGATTGGTGACCAACCTATAGCAGCATGTAGGTCTGTGGGGGCTGTTTCAAATCAAAACTACATCACAGGCAAAGCCAAATATAATTATTTTCTCAGCCAATTGGGTCTCTTGCTCTGAAGTTTTAAAATCCATACTCACTAGCAGTTCTTTAACAGAAGGTTTAGATTCCAGATAATTCTGTGCCATTCCAAGTCAAGCAGTCCATTAAATATAAGATGAGAGAATGTTTCAGAGGGTTGCATAGCAATGGAATTAGTTCTCTCTCTCTCTCCTCTCTCTCTCCTCTCTGTTTTCTTTGACATGTTTCTCTCTCTCTCTCTCTCTCTCTCTCTCTCTCTCTCTCTCTCTCTCTCTCATCTTTTCATTTTAAGACAAAATGCTCACCGTGTATCACAGACCAGCCTCTTCTCCTTGCCTGCACCTCCCCTCTGGTACCTTATTTTGTACTTGACATTTCCATACACAAAATTATGTAGCAACCCTATAAGGTCCATGACTTGCATAGTTCATTACAGAACAAGACAAGAGTTGAAGCCTCTGTTTTCCCAGAATAAAATCCAGAAGGTTTACACTTCTTTGTAATTGGAACTTCTAGAAATGAAACAGTGCTCTGGAAAGGACCCAAGAGTAAAAGGGGCACCTGCTAGGGTGGATGACCTTTAACAAAGATGCCTAATTGTTTTCACTGAGAACTTACCTCTTTACTTCCATAGCCATCTAACCATCTGGAGATTTAAAAATCACCCTAAGTGGTAAGAAATTGCCTATCAGGACCCTCAGTTCATTTTGTCAAGCATGTGAATGACCATGCTAACAATACTAACATAATCATAAAGATCATGATCACATGAATTAGTTAGGGGGCCTCATTCTTCCCACGGAGGCTGACTCTAAAGAGTGGACATTAAGACAAGTCACAGCAGATGCCCTTATTTTAGGTTTTACCCGTACCCTGTACAGGCCAGTACCCTGTACAAAGGCTTGCTCAGCATTGCATGCTTGGCTTTATATTAAAAAGAGTTATAAGAGGGAAAGCTGCTTTAGAATTCTGCTTTTAAATCAGGCAGTGATGGTGCACACCTTTAATCCCAGCACTCAGGAGGCAGAGGCAGGCAGAGCTCTGTGAGTTCCAGGCCAGTCTGGTCTACAAAGGGAGTTTCAGGATAGCTGGGACTGTTACATAGAGAAACCCTGTCTCCAAATAAATTCTGTTTTGATGTTTTTTGTTTTCCTAACTCTGACTCTTTGGAGCCCACCACCCACTTCCCAAATAAATACTTGGAGTCTTATTCTAACTTATGAATGCATGCCTTAGCTTGGCTTGTTTCTAACCAGCTTTTCTTAACTTAATTAATCCCATGTACCTTTTGCCTCTGGGCTTTTACCTTTCTCTATTTCTGTGTATCCTTTTTTTCCTTCTTATTCTGTGTCTGGCTGTGTGGCTGTATGGCTGGCCCCTTATTTTTTCTCTCCTCCTCCTCTTCCCAGATTTCTCCTCCTATTTAGTCTCTCTGCCTGGCAGCCCCACCTTTCTTCTTCCTAGCTGTTGGCTGTTCAACTCTTTATTAGACCAATCAGGCATTTTAGACAGGCAAAGTAACACAGCTTCACAGAGTTAAACAAATACAACATAAACGAATGCAACATATCTTTGCATCATTAAACAAATGTTCCACAGTGTAAACAAATATAACACATCTTCAACTAATATTCCACAACAGAATTCTGCTTTAAGCCTTGTGTATTTAAAATAGCATTGCTCTTGGCAGTCTCAAGTATGATGCTCAGCCTCCTGAGATGCACTTACCTTTCTGTGTAGGGAACATAGAGGTCTATGTACTCAGAAGCATGCACTGGGGAAGCCTGGAATGTTAAGAACACAAGGTTGTTCTTTCAAGGGAAAGAATGCAAAACCTGTTTTCTGCCCAGAAGGATGAAGCAGATGTGCTTAATAGCCTGGTGACCTTTGCACTCCCTGTGTAGTAGAGACTTTCCAGCATCAGACCCTCCTCCAGACCTTTCTCTGTTGTGTGTTGTTTTTGCTCTTTTGGCATTTTGAGGGGTCCATCACTCAGCATCCCAAAATAAATACAAGAAGACTTATTCGTAGTTATGAATGCCTGGTCTTAGGTGGTTTGTTTCTAGCCAGCTTTTTTGTTTGTTTGTTGTTTGGTTGGTTTTGGAGACAGGGTTTCTCTGTGTAATAGCCTTGGCTGTCCTGGAACTCACTTTGTAGACCAGGTTGGCCTCAAACTCATAGATATCCGCCTGCCTCTGCCTCCCAAGTGCTGGGATTAAAGGCATGTGATTCCAAGTGCTGAAATCACCTTTGCATGAGCTCTGCTTTTCTTTTAGACTGGATCAATTTCATGTAGCTCAGTGTGGCCTTGAACTAACAGAGATCAATCTGCCTCTGTCTCCCGAGTCCGGGGATTAAAGGTGTGTCCCCCCCCCCCCTGCCTCTATAGCTATCTATTGTGGCTGCTGGGTTTAAAGGTGTGTATCACCACTGCCTGACTCTATGGCTATGGCTAGCATTGCATTTTGATCCCCAGTGGCTTTATTAGATCATAAACAACACATCACTACACAGCTCTTTATTAGACCATCAGGTGTTTTGGACAGGCAAAGAATCACAGCTTCACAGAGTTAAACAAATGCAGCATAAACAAAAGTCACACACCTTAAAATAATGTTCTACCACACTTCTCAACTACTTATTTTTCTCAGTCAATCTATAGAACCCATCTTTATGGAAGGTGTCATGTGTACTTTACGAAGAGTTTTGACGTTGTTCCATCTGATCTGTATTTTGCTTACTTTGTTCCTCAAAGAGAATTAGGCATGCTTTGTTGAACACTGAGGATTGAGTTAATCATCATAAGAATAGTGTTCACCAGATTGTGCTGTGTTTAAATAAGCCTAAAATAAACCACTCGGGTCAGACTCCCAATGTTTGAACCAACACTGGCTAACTGAACTTCATCCTTGCCTCCCAGGGCTTGTCTGTCTGCTGCCCATGAAGGTGGCAGAGACACCTGAATTTTTCTATGAGAAATGAATAATATTAATGACCTTCAGAATTCTATTAATATTATGTTATTACTTGCTCGTCTGATTGCTGTAGCGAAACACCCAACCAAAGCAAATTAAGGATGGAAGGATTTATTTTGTCTTGTAATTCCAGGGTATAGAGTCCATCATGGCAGCATGAGCAGGGGGAGGCTGGTCACATGGAGTCCACAGTCAAGCTGTATTTCGAGTGCCTGTATCCTGCTCACATTCTGCTTTCTATTCAGCCCATGGAGCAGTACCACCCATATTAGGTGAGTCTTTCTACCTTAACCCAGTCTAGATAATCCCTCACAGACAGGAACAGAGGTTTGTTTACATGCTGATTTTAAATCCCAGCAGGTTGACAATCAAGATCAACCATTATATATTTACATTAATAAAATTGTATATTACAATCTCCCAATTCCTGTTTTGAAAGTGTAGGCCAGTGGTTCTCAACCTGTGGACCACGGCTCCTTTGGGGATGATCAAATGATTCTTTCCCAAGGGTTGCCTAAGACCACCAGAATACAGAGATATTTATATTACAATTCATAACAATGCTAAGATTATGGTTATGAAGTAGCAATGAAGATAATTTTATGACTGGGGGGTCACCACAACACAAGGGACTGTCTTAAAGGGTCACAGCATTAAGAAGGTTGAGAACCACTGAGCTAAGTGAAAATAGAAAGTCATTGGGTATCAAGTAGCAAGTATAAATTCTGAGTTTTAGGTTTGTGTTTTTACCTGAATTTTGTTTGTTTCTCTGTATTTGTAATACCATCTACTTTTTCTTTACATTCATCTTCCTGTATTTCAGAAAGAATAAATAAAGCCCTTCTCCAAACTCTGCTCATACCATACATATCCATAAGGACCATAGAACTATTGTCAATGCGTCTATTATTGTTCTCTTTAATTTCTTGAAAACCAATTAGAAAACAATTGAGACCAGTTTATGAATTATTTAATCTAAGATTGTTGGATTTTAACCAATGTTACATTCTCCACTACCCCAAGAGACATCTGCAACTTTCAGGAGGTATTTTTGATTGTCACAACTAGAAGTATTTAACCAGTGATGATGCTAACTAGTCTACAAAGTAGAAGATATGTCATAACAAGGATTATAAAGCTCAAGTTGTCTGTATTGCTAATGTGGAGAAGCCCTGTCTGGAAACCAGGTAAAATGCATGGAGCTTACATGCCCAGACATGCCCAAGAACAAGATCTTGCACAGTATGTCCCCAGAGCACCCTCAAAGTGGTAGTGCTGCCTACAGCAGACCACTGTGTTCCCTTTAGGCTTCAGATCATCAGATCATGTGCCCTGTGAAGGAAGGCTGTTCCTGTGGTTATCACTTCACTACCTTCTGTATACTGTCTATAAAATTGCAGACACTTTTGGAAATTTTGATTGTCATTTTACATAATTTTTAAGGATTCACTTTTAATGTCAGAGTTTTCCTTTTTTCTCTTTTATAAGAAAAAAATAATATTTGGAAAAACCTTTAAACCTTTTCTGTTGTCTCTATGAATGGGGAAAAATCACTGGAAACCTATGTGTGTCCATTTCTAAACAAATACAGAATGACTTCTGGACAGCCATTTAAATGGTAACTTAGGGAGTCACTTCCAGCATTTACCATTTTTCAAGCTTACTACTTTATTTTTCCATTATTTGTGTGTCATGAATTTAACCTGAGACCTCATACTTGCTAAGCAAGCATTCAATCTGCTACCGAGCTACACACCCAAGCCTTATGTATGTCACTTTAAAAATTCGACATAGTTGATTAGACAACTGGATTTATGGCAGGATGTGTGACTCATTCAAGGACTCAGAAACATAAGTCAGATTTGAGATTCAGGAAAACAAGTTGAAAGAGAATGCATAAAGGTCATAGACAACCCTGAAACTCCAGAAACTCAATACAAAATGTAACACGGCCAGAAATGTAGCAAATACTATAGAACACTCACTTCATGTGGACACGGCCCTGGGTTCAAGTCCCATAGCAGGGAAAGAAAGAGTAACATGGCCTGACTCTGTAGAGAAAAGTAGGGGCTTAATATCCAGCTATGATTTGTACAACTATTGAAGCCATCAGTCTACACCCCTTAAGCTTCAATGAAGCCCTCAGACCCACAGGGAAGACTGACTCAGCCATGTCTCATGTCTCTTTCTCTGTAAAAGGTCACCTGTTCTGTGGCCAGTTGTGCTGTTCAGAAACCCAAGAACGGAAAACCAGCAACATCAGTCTTGGAGGCAGGAAGACAGTGTAGGATGGTCAAGACTTAGTAGGTAAAAGAGATTTTTCTTGTCTCCTATTCCTTTGGGTCATTTTAATTTAAAGCCTGTTGAAATGTTCTCAATTGCGTGACTTTTTATTATTAGATTGTTTGCTAACTGTGAGTTTGATAGGAACCAAAAAGAACCAGAAGGAACTTTTTCAAGTAGTCAGGAACTGACCATGTTGGTCTGAGTGAGAGTAGAGTTCAGAAGGAACTGAGTAGGGTGGGGATTGAGGCGGGGGAGGCAAGGTGAATAAAACCATGGACCACGGTGATCAAATTGCATCTCAAATGGCCTGTGAAAACAGAAAGCTGCTTCAGCCCCAAAGCAACTATGGGTTATACACTGGTTAGTTTTTGTCAACATGACACAAACTAGAGTCATTTGGGTAGAGGGAACTTCACTTGGGAAAATGGTTCTGTCAGACTGGCCAACAAGCATACCTGTGTTGCAGTTCTTGATTGTTGATTGATGCAGGAGGGCCCAGGTCACTGTGGGCAATGCCATCCCTGGGCAGGTAGGTAATAGCCCTGCTGATTGACTGGGTGAACCCTCTATGATTGTGGAGAGTGCGAAATGTTGCAGGTCCAGAGCCTAATTACAGTTTATCTTTGGCTAGCTTGAGACTACTGACTAGCCATTCCCTGCTTGCTACCTCTGTATGGGAACTAACATCCTGACTACAGGTAAAAACCTTCAGGATAAATTAAGGAAAGTCCAATTTTCCACCAACCAAAAGGCCTAAGAGTCATAAGAAAACATCTCAGGCCCAGAGCTAAGATTTCTCTACTTTGCTATAATCATGTAATAAATGTTCCCACCAATGTACTTGAAAAGTGCCTGGATAAAGGACTTTCTCTGTTCTGTTTCTATAAAAACTTCATGAGTCTGCTTTCACATTGGAACATGAAATTTGGGACAACCTAAATCTGTGTTTCTGGGCCATAATCACTCAAATTTGCCAAAAAAAAAAAAAAAAAAAAGCCACCTCTTACCTTTTTTGAGTTCAGTACTGTTTTTGCATTGACAATAGAAACAGAAACCAAAGTAGGACAGGGTCCCCTCAATACCAAGAGACATTTTTCATTATATATAACTCCTTCCTCAGCACTTCTTGGGAAAATATTATAATCTATTTATTAATTCAGGATTTTTATTTGATCCATTTATACTTTTCCTTACAGACACACTATAAATATTGAGATTAGTTGTATATTTATATATGATATGGAATTTATCTGATGTATTCATTAATTTTGCAGTAGAGTTTTATTGTTGTCCTTTATAATCCAAACATTGGGAGCATTGAACCAAGCTATTTGCTTCATAATATAAAATAAGTAAGAAGACAATGGTTTGAAAACTAGGCCTCAATTTAGACTACCACTGTATAATTAGATAAGTTTCTTGTAGATTGTTTTGTTTTATGTACTTAGACATACATACATGTTCATAAATTTACAGCATTCTACAGAGGGAACAAATAAGCACAACTTTATGAAAAGTTTTTAGTTCACTTGTATAAAGAGCCTTTTTTCAGATTTCTGGTTTATTTATTATAATTCAATTAATTTGTTTATTAATACATACATTCTTTTTAAAGATTTTTTTACTTGTTTGAGTCTTTTGTCTGTATGTATATCTATGTACCACATGTGTGCCTGGTTCCTACAGAGGTCAGATTCCCTGGGTCCTCTGGAAGAGCAACAGTGCTCTTAACTGATGAGTCATCTCTCCAGCCCCTTAATGCAGAAATCCTAACTGATTGATAATTCCACTTTTAAAAATTCAATTTAAATACTGGATGAATGTATTAAGCAGTATTCTAGTAGTCGACACTCGGCATGTATTGTTTAATTTTTCATTTTTACTATGATATCAATATCAGGGCCTTGTACATGCTAAGCAAATGCTCCACCACTGACCTCCCTACCTAGTCCCTGAGTATATTATTTTATATGTGCCATGTTTTAAAAAGGTTAGCTTTTATTATTTTTAATCATCTATGTGTGTGTAGGGGGGAGGCTATGTGTGTCTATGTGTAGGTATGTTTCATGAATGCAGAGGCCCGGGAGGCTAGGGTACTGGAATCTCCTGGAGCTAGAATTACAGGCAGTTGTGAGCTGCCACATGGGTGCTGATAATCAAACATGTACGCTCTGGAAGAACAACCAGTGGTCTTACCTGCTGCCCTCCCACAAGCTCTATATGTGCCTTTAATAAGCCAAAGCTGGCACTACCTTCACTGAACAGATGTAGCAAATAAAGCAAAGAAATTAAGAAATTTGCCCAGGGTCAGGTGGTAGGAAATGGAGTCTGGTTTTAAAACTGAATCTGAAACAGAAAACCATAACTTGGAGCCAAAAGCCTGGAACAGAGCACCATAAATTTTTCATTGGTCTAGGTATAACTTTATGTAAAAACCACATTTTTTATAGTAGTCCATAGGGGAGAATTAATCACAAATTCAAACTGACTTTTCTTATTACTTCCAATTACCGAGCTTTTACATATGTTGGTTAACAAACAGGCTTTAACTTTAAATCTCAAAATGTTTTCATAATAAAATTTTACTTGATATTTAAAACAACCTGTAAGATTTACTATTTTTCCATTAATATTACACCCTACATTTAGCAGTGTACATCAAAAGCCTTAAAATACTTCTTTCTCTCCTAATTTAGAGATTCTTATCCTCTAGAAGTACATGCTTTTTTTTTTACAAACATATTAATTTATATAAATTTTTAAACTTGAAATTTGTGAGTAACTTATAAACACATTAAAGAATGGAATGGTTAAATAAATGATGACCCTGGTATTCTAAAAGATGTTGATAATGTATCATAACATGGAAAAACACTTGTGTTTTCTTTTGGTCTTACTTGAAGTGTAATGAACAGAAAAGTGCAGAAGGATAGAGTACAATTTAGTCACAATGTAAGGGCTAAAGTTAACCTGTAAGCCCCATTTGCCCAAGGACATATAACTTCCAGGAATGCTGGAGGCTGTTGTTCATGTAAGATAACAAGGCAAGTGGTTTTTTGGTTTTTTTTTTTGTTTTGTTTTGTTTGCTTCAGTAAACAAGCTTGGATACCCCAACTGCACAGGATGTGCTTGATTACACCTAGGTGGGAGGTACATAGACAGGAAGTACTTCAGGATGTATGCTTGCCCCTGATTGGACAAAGGCAGAAAGATTAGGCTTGTAGCCTTTATAGGCACCAGGCTGACCTAATTTAGCACCATTTCTCTGGGAATTCTCAATATGGACCTGGCCAGTGTTCATCTTCCTGGCCAGTATTTAATAAAGTTTGCTTCAGTTGGACAGTTGTGGATTCAGTCTTTCTCCTCCCAATTTTCAGGCTTAACAACAACTATATAAGATGAACGTTCCATAGTCACAGAACCTGAAGATATCAACCCGGGTTTTAAATGCCTTTGAACTTTACTTCTATTTTCTCTGTTTTCCTTTCCCCCTTTTGGATGGGGCAGAAGGGGCTTGAATCTGGGGCCTAAAGCATGGTAGGAAATCAGTTTTCACATGCTAATATGAAACAGAAAGATATCTTTTAAACTTGCTTTTAAAGTTATGAACAGAATGGCTAACCCTCAGCTAGTTTGATCTTCTGTGATAGGTTCAATGTGCAAAGATTCCCACCAGCACTGCCGAAGGAAAGAGTGTAGCTAACCTCCCTGATTAGAAATACAAACACTTGGACTTTTCATTCACAAGCCATTGCTCCCATTGTCTGAGCTGTAAGCCAGAAGCTCAGCCGCCCACACCCTGTGTGGCTCCTGATACCTCATCCCAGTTTTGCTTCCTGGTTCAGGAGTTACTCTATATGCTGACAAAGTTTAAAAACAATTGTCTTCACAAGCCACTGAGAGAGCCAAGAGGAAACAACACAGTGGCTTTCTTCTCTGTGGCTACTTAGAAGGCTGATATTGTTGACACCTGGGTAGTGAGGCAGGTAGAAATAAGATCCATGTCTTCTAGGACAAATATAAAGATTTGGGACTGGAAAAATGACTCAGTGGTTAAAAGCACTAACTACTCCAGATGACCCAAGTTGTACACCAGCACTCACAACTGTCTGTAACTGCACTTACAAGGGTATCCAATGCCACCTTCTGGACTCTGTAAGTCATGTATGTATGTGGTGTCTATACAGACATATGCAGGCAAAACATCCATACACATAAAATAAAAAATAAAAGGTAGAAAAAAAATAAAGATTCATGTCAACGTGAAATATGACCCAAACTGCCAAGTCAAAGGTCTTTGATGAGCTGAGATATAACTAAGCTATAGTCTTCAAATTTCCTACTGCATATTCTTCAGAACAAAAACTATCAATTTGCAGTTTGAAAAATTTTGATAATATCTATTCATTTTCATGTTTCTTTGATGTAATTTTTGAAAGCATTTTAAAAGTTTAAAAACATGACAAGACTCTTCTCTTTGGTCTTTTTCACCCTGAAGCCACAACTCTCAACCTCTCTCCTAAATGTCTCCAACCTTAACTCTAAAATGCAACCCAGAACCCAGCATCCGCCCCTGCCCCCACTTCCTCCTTGCCAGTGGGTGCTGAGAAGATATCTACACAGCTAAGCAGGATAAATAGCTTGTCACCAGCCCAGTAGGCTGTTAGTCTTCTTCGTGTACTAGCCAAAGTTGTAGACTTTAGGAAGTTCATTTGGTTTCTATGTGGCTTTGTTTTGATTGGTTGAATTAGACACTTTTCCTTTAGAGACTTAGCACTGGCTGAGGCAGTCAGTTAATTCTGCTTAGGCTGCCACAACATCATCAAATGCTAATCCATTCATTCAAAACCACACCTTATTAGGGTCAGGTACAGAACTTTTGCCTCCAACCTTGTGGGTTTATTTAGTGATTAGTTGAGAGTTCCTGCAGCTGTGTCCTTTCAGTGACTGTTTAATGGTGGCCAAGAGAATTGAGGTCAGCTGCCAGGACTTGGAATCTGGAGGAACACATGAACACATTATTCTTTTTCTCTGAAGCTATCCAATTCTTCTTCCAATCACATGGGGAGATAGGCAGAGGGTGTTCTGAAGCAACCCAGCAGCTTACTGCTGAAGCTACTGCCCATGTATGACACTACTGTGAGAGAATGGGCTCCTACCTACCGTCAGTGTGATCTTCATCAGAAAGTTAATTACAGAAGGTGCCATACATAAAAGCTAACCCCAAGCAGCTTCTGGCTTTAGTTGCGGGCTTTAGTTTTCTCAAAGACTACACGTTGGGTTCAGTCTGCAATGAGAGGCTGGAAAGATGGGTTCCCATGCTTACTGAATATGAAAGAGGCTTTTGTTTAAGTTGATTTTTGCTACAATTATTCACAGCTACAGTTCTCTTTACTGCAGAGGGGAAATTACCTCAGAGGTTGCAAGGTTTTTAGTTGAACTGACTGTCTGGAGGAAAAGTTTTTTGTTGTTGTTTTGTTTTGTTTTTTTGTAAAGTGTTTTGTTCAGCGTGATGGAGAACCAAAATGCCATCATCATTATCACTGGCCTTCCTCCACTGTGGCTTCTCTCCAGATTCTCGCCAGAAATTCTGACTAATAGGCTGAGTCACCAAGTTTCAGATGTTTATGTATTTCAACACAATTCCCAGGCTTATGGGATTTTTTATTTATTTATTTTCTGGTTTCAGGACTTGGAAAGAATCAAACATCCTTCTGAATTTCCAGTCTAGTGTCACTGAGTGACTGGGCACAAGGTGGGCAGATGGAATTGCTCCTTCACTAGCAAAGGTCCAAGTGTCACCAAAATGTCAAACGATTAGTAAGTACTTCCAGCTTGGAGGGGATTCAGTTAACGATAAATATTTGTGTTTCTACCATGGTAGTGGTAATAATTTAAAATAAGAAGTGCATGCAGTGAAAATATGGAAAAGTGGATGCTTGGAAATTTCAGGGCACTCACTAGTTACCAACATGGCAAAGATGTGTATCTTTGCTCCTGTAGCTCCTCAAAAGAATGATGAGTGGACATGCTGAACTAACATATCATTTTTTAGTAAAAAAAAAAAAAAAAAAATCCATGACTTTTGTTATTGTCTCATTTTTGGCTGGGTGGTGGTGGTGCACACCTTTAATTCCAGTACTCAGGAGACAGAGGCAGGCAGATCTCTAAATTTTTTCTGTATCTTTAGTCATATCAGTCCCCAGTTGTTTGTAGACTATAAGCATCTCTGAATCTTACACCAATTCTTTAAAATCTTATTTCCATTTTGTGTGTATGAATGTTTTGTTCTCTTGTATTCAAGTGTACTGTGTGTGTGTGCCTGGTGCCCATGGAGGTAAGAGGACATTGGGTTCCCTGGTGCTGGCACTGGATGTTTGTAAGCTGCCATGTGGGTGCTGGGAACAAAACCCAAGTCCTCTACAAATGAAGCAAATGCGCTTAACTACTGAGCCATCTTTCACAGCCCTTCATGTTGGGGCCACTAGAGTTCTTTCCTCTACCAAATCCTCAGACGGAAAAGAGACTGAGTTCCTGCCTCCTCCTGCCATCTTACTTCCTGTCTGTCTGTAAGAACGCCAGACCTCTATGGTTAACTAATGGCTAGCTCTGCCCTCTGCTCTTCAGGCAAGCTTTATTTGTTAGAGCACAAACAAGATATCATCACATCTGCCCCACATTCCATGCACGTTATTCCCTGCATTTGTGGAACAGCATATTCTGAGTGCGGTCTGAGGAGTTCAGACAAGTAAGACCTTCTCAGATCTTTTCGCTTTCACCCCCTAATATCTGACTCCAAGTTTTTACTACATTCATGTGGTCCAGAACACCAGTTATAGTCTGACAACATAAAAGACAATGGTATGAAGTAAAATAAATTTGATATTTAAAAGAGTTTATTCACCATTCTTTATGGAATGTCCTACAATGGTGTATATATAGAATGTTCTAGAATACAAATTCATAAGTGCTAGAGAGATGGCTCAGAGGTTAAGAACACTGAGCGCTCTTCCAGAGGTCCTGAGTTCAATTCCCAGCAACCACATGGTGGCTCACAACCATCTATAATGAGATCTGGTGCCCTCTTCCGGCCTGCAGGCATACATGCAGGCAGAACATTGTATGCATAATAAATAAAATCTTTTTAAAAAAGAATTTAAAATAAATAAATAAATCCATAATATTCTTGTCCTTCAAGCATGCTATATCTTTTTCATTGTGAATTCATGGGGGATTATGCCTAAACCGATGGTCTTTTGAAAAAGTCTATCTGCCATTTTTCAGCCAATGAGCATCCTTACGACCTGCAGAGACAAATGCCTAGCGGTCCTCTGTCCCTCAGCTTGTTCTATGACTTCACAATGAGATTCTTCAAGCTGAGTTTGACACTGAAGCAGTTGGATACGCAAGTGATGTTGTTATCTTCAAACATGGTTTGTGAACCACCCACAGTCCCACCCTGTGGCCAGTGAACTGCATTAACTTGCTCTCTGGATTCTAGAGTTAGATTGCTTCCCTAACAACATCACTTTTCAGTACCTGGAGATTTCTTTTTCTTTTTAAGATTTATTTTATTTTACTTTATGTATGTGAGTGTTTTGCCCGCATGTATGAAACATGTCTTGTGCTCACAGAAGTTAGAAAAGTGTCAGATCCCCGGGAACTGGAGTCATGGATGGTTATGAGTCACCATCTGGGCACTGAGAATTGAGTACTCTTGACCACTGAGCCATGTCTCCAGCCCAATTCCTGGAAATTTCAACCATATTGCACATGAATATTTTCTGGGCCCAGTATTGAAAACTAAAAATGGAAAGCAGAGAGAGGCAGCTACAAAAAAATGGCTGAAAACGTTTACCTCTATGCTAGGGAACGCCACCTACTGATACAGCCAGTCGGCAAGTACAGGGGCTAATGGCAGGGAGCCTGCACCTTGCACCCACAGTTCTGGCACTGGACATTAACAGCCAATGTGCTATTATGGCTTGTCTGCCACACATAAATGCAATATTATTACACAATTATTCCAATCTAGGGCAACATGAACTGATGAAAAACTATTTTCCCTTCAAATCAGACACAACTAGCATTCATCTTGCCAGTGTGTGCCAGAAAATGAATATTGAACACTTCTTTTGCAATTGATCTTAGCCAAAAGGTGAAGAAGGAAAAAGCCTCTGTGTGTGTGTGGGGGGGGCGGTGGTATTGCTATGGTCTTTCACATCCTAGACAATACCCTAGTCCAGCAAATATCTTTGGATAAGACTGACTCAAGAGAACTATATCCACGTGAGGCCTTTAACCCTAAGTGGGCTGTGTGCAGGGTCTGGCGCACAGGGTCTGTGCGAGACCAATGACACACATAAACAGAAAGCGAGGACCTCATAGGAAAGAACAAAGAGCTAGGGCACTGGGCTAGAAAAAAAGCTGGGATTAAGGGCTGGGTTTGACAACAGATTAATAAAACAAGTCTTTCTAATCTGAAGAGAGCAATTGCCTTCAGCTACAGAGTCAAGTGGTAAATTAGACACAGTATTTTGTAAAAAGTCCCTTCCCTAGGTCCATTGCATCACTAGGGTTTGGTCGGAGGAAATGCCTGCTTGTGGCTCTTTCCAACTCTTGGCTGGGCGCCAGAAACTGAAACCCTCTGGGATACTCAGGCCCACTCCCAAAGCCCGAGAACGCTCAGCACTGCCGCTTTTATGCATTGACTTAGGACAAATGTGCATTTAAAACCTGGCAGGGAGAGAAGTCTTGGCGATTGCTGGCCTGGGGCTGCAACGATGGGCTTTGGGAAGGTAAATGACAAGAGGCTGCTTTCGCTACAGTATGGGTCTCAGGCCTGCCCTACATCCCCGCGGGGTGCGGAGCCGGCAGAGGGATGGGCAGCGGGTCGCCAGGGATGCTCCCTGGAGCGCGCTCAGGTGCATCAGGCGCTGCTCCACAGCTGCTCCCGCGCCGCCTCGGGAATGGGGCTCGGCTGAGGTCGCGGCTTTCCCGCCCGCAGGCTGGGGGGCGGGGCAGCCCCAGCCACATCCCCCGCATCCCATCCCCCAGCGCAGCCCGGCTTCCACATCCTCCCGGCGTCTGTCTTTCCCGCGTTCCCCACGAGAGACATGGCCGGGAGCAGTGAGAAGGCGCCAGACTCCCGGAGAGGCGTCGTGGTAAATGCAAACTCCGTACCCCGGACTCCCTAGCTCACTGCCCTCTCCTCCCTTCGTGGCATCCCCCTTTAGCTGAAATGCGTTCGGGTGAGGACCTGCCACGGCTTTGTTCCCCCTCCGAAGGGGGATCGCTTTCTCCGTTGCATCCAGGCCTCCCCTCTCCACCCCGTCTGACGAAACCCCCACTAAAGTCGCTCCGCCATCCCGAATTCTCTGTGACTCCTCCCCTTCCACCCTCCCTCGGGTCTCCAGCCTGGAAGCCTGCGTCCTACTGGGTCCCCATTTGTCCTTCCCACAAAGAGCCTGGCCTGCGAGCTGGGGTCTGGGAAGACCCCAGCGTGCAGCTCTAGCGGCCCTCTCACCAGCGCTGCCTCCTTACTTCAATGAGTTTCCAGGTTTTTGTTTGTTTTGTTTTTTGTTTTGTTTTGTTTTGTTTTTTAAAATCTACTGACAACTCTTCCGGGCAGCCAAGAAACACAGTAGCACAAGTGAATGGAATTGGAGCTTTAAATCTGCGGCGCGGCTTTGCAGAAGTCAGCAGCCCGAGTGCCCTGTGCCTTGTCTGTGAAGAAAGACAAGGTGGATGTGTGAAATACCCAGTGGTGTGTCAAGATGGAAGGATGGAGGGTGGGGCCAGATCCGAACCTCTTCAGTTCTAGGGATCATTGAGGTGTCAACAAGAGGGTACCCACCTCCCAGAATCCTGGAATCAAGCTCCAGCGGGTGGTAGTTATGGCTACCAGGATTGGTGTGAAAAGGTGTCAGGGTGGTGGGTGGGGCTGATTTGCCACTAAGAGTCTCTTCCCGTAGCTCAGCGCGTAATTCAAAGTTAATCTGTTTATGGAAATGAAATGGATTGAACTAGAATGAGTGGGTTGGGAAGGAAACACCTCTCACTTTAATAGAACTGCTCCGGTTGAAATGTGGGGTTCAGCTCTTAATTTAACAGCAAGACCTGCCTTTCGTAAATGAGGGAGGGGTGCCTTTAGTCTGCCCTGCTAGTCTGGTCTTAGTGTTGGAACAAGACAAAGGCTCTTTATCCCCCCGGAATGTGCATTCTAGGGGAGGGGCATAGGCAAGCAGAGTGAAAACACACAGTCAAGATAATTCTGACAGCCAGGTGGACAAGAGGAAGGAGGAGAACAGTTACTGGAAGGGATGGGAGCAGTGTCTTTGCTCATATGATCAAAGAGTTGTAGTGACATTTCACCCAACATACGAAGCATAAACACGGTCCCCGTGTGGGGACCCAAGGCACAGAGACTCATGTCAAGGGAAAAGGAGATCATTGTGTCTGATTTGTGCTTTGACAATAAAAACACTCCAGCCACCGTGAGTATGGTAGACCAGATGGGAGGAGGCGAAAATATGAAAGAGGAAATATTAAATTGACTCCCATATTATGTCTATAATGCTCACAGGTCAGGTTACCCTGTAGGCAACCTGAAATTCATACTTGAAACTCCAGAATGTGATAGGGTAGATCTGGGAAACCATCATCAGAAGGTTAGTTAATATTTTGTGAATAAATGAAGAATGAAGTGGAAAACGGAAGAAATAAAAACAACTGTTAAGAACAGATGCCTGGAAAACCGAAAATGTGAGAGTTACACGGTGGGCACAAAGCCAAATAAAGGGACCACCAAGAATGCAGAG